GGCCGCTCCCGGCCACTGCACTCCTGGGTGACAGAGTGAGACTCCAACTCAAAAAAACCCCCAAAAAAACAAAACATAAAATTGAATACGTAAGACCTATGCTTGGTTCAGATACAAATTTTTTTTAACAAATAGAATCTGTAGTAAAAATTCAGGTAATATCAATATAGAAGTGACTTGAAGGTTAAAGAACAATCTTACTAAAATTCTGATCTTGTTTAGGTGTTAAATATAGACACTATTAGCAGAATCTTAGGAAAATATAAATTTAAGTATGTTTGCCTTCTTTTTAGTCAGGGTTCACTCTGGTTCCCAGACTGGAGTGCAGTGGCATGATCTTCACAGCTCACCACAGCCTCAAACTTCTGGGCTCAAGAGATCCTCTTGCCTCAACCTCCCAAGTAGCTGAGACTACAGGTACATACCACCACATTCAGCTAATTGTTTTACTTTTTTGTAAAGACAAGGTCTGATTATGTTGCCCAGGCTGGTCTCGAACTCCTGGGCTGAAACGCTTCTCCCATCTTAGCCTCCTAAAGCGCTGGGATTACAAGCGTGAGCCACCATGCCCCGCCTGCTTGTCTTTTTCTCCTGTGATTTCAAAGATTTGGTCGTGGATAAAGGGTGAAATATGGAGGTCTAGAAAAACTGCCATGTATGCTCAGAAATTAGTTATTTACATGTCTGCAAAGTTTGAAATTCCAAGGGGGAACAAGGACAGAGAGCTGCATTTTTTCTTTACTCTTTATTTCAATAGCTTTAGGGAGTCCAAATAGTATCGTTTGGGGTTACATGGATGCAATGGGTACTGGCGAAGAAGTCTGGGCATTCAGTGAACCCACCACCTCCATCTGTGCACATTGCACCCAATGGGTCATTATCCCTCTACCCCATCTTACCCTCCCCCTTCTGAGTCACCAATGTCCCTGTGTGTTTAACTAATGGCACTAACTCTGCTTGTCGTTTCCCACAGGTGCCATGCTGTGCTCTCTGGTGGGAACACCCTTCTCCTTGCCTGGTTAACTGCTATTCACCCTCAGGAGCTGGCAAAATAGAGTGTGCCGGTTAGGGACTCGTGCCCTGTCATCAGACTCCCTAGACTTGTCATCAGACCTTGAACTGCAGATAAATGTCTTAGCTATCCATGCCTCAGTTTGCTCATCCCTAGATGGGGCAAATTAAGAAAGTAACCTCATCTCTGCAAAGCACTTAGGCCAGTGTCTAAACTCTGTACATATCAGCTACTGTTATCCTGTAGCCCCAGCTAAGCCATCGCTCTCCCGCAAGGCCTTTCTTCTCCTTTCTCTTCGGCCCCAGACTCCACTAGAAGCCTGCCTCCCCTGGCCCGTGCACTCTGGGCCTATCCCTATTATGGAACTCAGGGTTCTTAAAAAAAAAAAAAAAGCATCTGTCCAGGATCCCCTATCATATCCGGCTCCTCCAGGACAGGGATGGAGGTTGAGTCAACTCCCCTTTCTTACCCTACTGTCCAGTTCAGCGTTTAGTACTAATAGGAACCGACTGTCGAATGAATGAATGAAGGGCGCTTGGGAAGCAATCGCTAAATGCCTGTTGAGCAGAGCATTGAACGTCATCATAACAAGAATCTGAGCTGTTTTCGTTGCCCTTAGAAGGTTCCACATTGGACATTCTGGAATAGAGGTACAGGGAACCTCACAGAGACTGCCGGGGTGCCCGGCGGAAAATGAGGCCCAGAGAGATTGGCGCGCGACTAAGGTGTCACAGCGGCGAATTCACGGCAGAATCCGAGTTGGAATCCAGCTCTGAATCCCTAACCACGGGCGCTCTCCACGCCTCCTAGCCCTCCGTCCACCCCCAGTGTAGACGGCTAGGATGCATAATATCGCGCCGGTCCGGGAGTCACCTGGGCCCAGCTCCGACTCCACGCGAGCTCTACCCACGGTGCCCTCCCCGCCCGAGTCGCTGGGAGGAGGGCACTCACTTGTCGGAGAGGTGTCAGAGAGACTGTCGCGACTCTGCGAGTCCCCCGGGGCCGCCAGCTTTGCGGCCTGAAGGGAACCAAGCGCGGGAGGAGCGCCCGGTGCGACCCGGTTGCCAGGGCGACCGGGCACCCTTCACCTGGAAGCGATTACGCCGCGGCCGAGCTGAGCCAATCAGAAGGCGCCGGGGTTGTGCAGCTGCGGCGGGACCGCCCACGTGAGATCCGGGAGGGAGGCGGAGCCAGGTCGGGACCCGGGGCCCTTGGGCTGCGACCCCCGACAGCCGCCCCAGGAACCCGAGCTGCCAGCCAGGTACGGCCCCCACCTCCGCGGACGAGGGATGTGTGTTTGGGTGCGTGGTCGTCGCTTCGCCCTGGTCGTCCGTGTGACTCCAGGAAGGGTCGCGCTCGGAGGAGCCCAGCGTGTCCCCCGCCTGTCTGCCTGGGGCCGGTGAACCCTTGGACCAGCAGGATCCCGGGCCCTGGAACCCGGTCAGGCGAAGCTCTGCGGCGGAGGAGAGGAGTTCAGGCTTGGAGCTGGGTGAGGGGTGGGACGGAAGGGGCTCAGGCTCGGTGTCCTGTCGCTGTCTCCATCGCCATCTCCAACTGAGTGGCTCTTTTGGGGAGAGGAGTGGGAACGATGTGTATTGGGAAAAAGAGATACGAGGTCTGGATGCCTGGATGGAGCGGGATGCATTGTATTCAGAGATTCGCCTGGGAGGAGAGGTGGTGTGTAGTCAGTTTTGAGTGCCCCGGGTGCGAGACAAAGGTACTCTTAGAGCCCAAATCAAGTCTCCATGTCCACGATGGAGAAAGAGTTGGAATCTTCCCAGGCTAGGTGGAATAGAATGTTGAAATCTATCCATGTGGATTACACAGCCTAATTCCAGATCCTTGGAAAACGTCTGGGAGAGTTTGCTGGATACCACTACAGCCAGCAAGTCTTCGCTGAAGAATTTGAGTGCATATCTCAGTTGTAAAGGTTGCTGTGAGACAAATCAGACCACAGCACCTTCTTGCTTTTTCAAACCCCCTCATGTTTCTCAGTACACACATTTACCTGGGCTGAGTGGTTTTGTTTTTGTTTTTGAGTTGGGATCTAACTCTGTCATCCAGGCTGGAGGGCAGTGGCATGATCACAACGGTCACGGCTCAGGGCAGCCTCAACCTCCTGGGCTCAGGTGATCCTTCCATCTCAGCCTCCTGAGTAGCTGGATAAATTATCCACGCCTGGATAATTTATTTTTATTTTTAATTTTGTAGAGATAGGGTTTCACTATGTTGCCCAAGCTGGTCTCAAACTCCTGGGCTCAAGCAACCTCTCCCCCACCTCAGCCTCCCCAAGTGCTGAGATTACAGGCATGACCTGCCGTGCCCAGACACGGGCTGGGTGGTTTTGAGCTGAAGTTCTTGAGATCTGTGTTTGATTTCTATAACCTTTTCTCTTTTCCTAAATTTTACAAATAATAGGTAATTATTGATGCACATTCTTAGAGAATTCAGCTTGTTTCACTGTTTTGGTTGCCTGTTAAGGTTTTTTTGTTTGTTTGTTTGTTTGTTTGTTTGTTTGAGTTGGAGTCTCACTCTGTCGCCCAGACTGGAGTGCAGTGGCCGTTTCCGGCCACCGCAGCCTCGACCTGCTGGGCTCCCGCGATCCTTCCGCCTCAGCCTTCCGAGTAGCGGGAACTACAGGCATGTGCTACCACGCCCGGCTGATTTTTTGATTTATTGTAGAGATGAAGTCTCGCTGCCCAGGTGGGTCTCGAACCCGTGGGCTCAGGCAATCCACTCACCTCAGCCTCCCAAAGGCTCAGGATTACAGGCTGAGCGACCGAGCCTGGCTGCCTGTTAAGGTTTTAACGACCCTACATTTTTGTGCGTGCAGTTGACATTTGAACATGAATTTGAACTGCACAGGTCCACTTACAGGTGGGTTTTTTTCCCATCCAAAAGGGGATAGGAAAGACAATACTCTTGGAATGTGAAACCCACATACAGAGGGCCAAATTTGTGCAGATTTTGGCCAATACTGGGAGGGTCTGGAACCAATCACCTGTGTTACTGAAGAAGGACTATATTTCATGACTCATTTACTCAGTTTGTTCAGGTTTTTGCTCAGAGAGGGCTTACCTAACTATTCTGTCTAAAATGACAGACTTAGGTTTTTTTTAAACTAATAATATAAATCTATTTGTTTATTGTCTGTTTTACCCTATAGAAGGCAAACTTAATGAGGCAACATTTTTTTTTGTTCTGTTCTTTTTTCTTTTCTTTTCTTTCTTTCTTTTTTTCTTTTTTCTTTTTTTTGAGACAGGGTCTCCCCAGGCTGGAGTGCAGTGGCATGATCATGGCTCACTGCAGCCTCAAACTCCTGGGCTCAAGTGATCCTCCCACCTCAGCCTCCCAAAGCCCTGGGATTACAGGCATGAGCCACCATGCCTAGCCTGACATTTTGTTTTCTTTGCTGTTATATCCCCAGGATCTGGCTTAATAGATATTTGTGGAATGAATAAATAGATGAATGAATTTTCATTCTCATGTAAGTCATTTATCTAACCTTCAGTCATTCATTTTACAAATACATATTTAATTTCTTTTATATGCCACATACTGTGTTAGAGGTACAGTGGTAATCAAAATAGACATAGTCCTTGCCTTCAGAGAGCTTTGTAGGAGTGGTAAGGTAACAAACATAAAATAAACATACTATGCATATGTATAATCATGAAGAATTTTGCAGAAAGGAATACCAAGAAACATAGTCTAATTTCCAGGTATTTGTGAGTTTCCCAAACTTTTTTCTGGCTTTTGACTTTTTAATTTCATTTTGTTTTGGTTGGAAAGCATACCTTATATTATATCAGTCTTACAAAATTTATTAAGGTTTGTTTTATAACCTAGCATATGGTCTATCCTGGAAAATGTTTTATATGTACTTGAGAAGAATTTGTAGTTGTTGGGTGGAGTGTTCTATAGATACCTGTTAAGTCTAGTTGGTTTATAGTGTTCAAGTCTTTTAGTTCCTTGTTGATCCTTTGTTTATTACTACAGTGAGGTATGGAAGTCTACTATTATATTGAACTGTCTATTTTTTCCTTCATTTCTGTCAGTTGTGCTTTGTGTATTTTGGTGCTCTATTGTTAGGTGCATATATGTTTATAATTGTTATCTCTTCCTGATGGATTAATGCTTTTGTCATTATGAAATGACCTTCTTTATTTCTAGTAACATTTTTTCCTTTAACATCTATTTTGTCTGATGTTAACATAGCCATTCTACCTTTCTTGTAGTTGTATGATTCGTCTTTTACTATTCATTTATTGTATCTTCACATTTGAAGTATCTCTCCTGTAGACAGCTTATACTTGGAATATGCTTTTTAATCCAGTCTGACAATATCTGACTTTTGATTAAATTAATTCACTTACATTGATTTTTATTATTGCTGGAGTAGTAATTACATCTGTCATTCCATTTTGCTTTTTTATGTCTGTATAACTTATCTCTATTTGTTCCTCTGTTCCTACTTTACTGCTTTCTTTTGCATTTAGTCATTAGGTGAATATTTTCTAATGTAGTATTTTTGTGATTGCTCTGGAGCTTATCATATACATCTTCATTTATCAGAATCACCTTCAAATTTACACCAGCTTAATTCCAGCAATATTACTATTATTTAACTGTATGCCCCAAAAGTTCGTGTGTTAGAGACTTAATTTCTAATGCAACAGTGTTGGGAGATGAGGCCTAATTAAAAATGAAAGGATTATGAAGGTGGGGCCCTCATGAGTGAATTAATGTCATTATCATGGGAGCAGGCTAGTTATTGTGAGGGGGGTTGTTATAAAGTGAGTGTGGCTCCCTAGTCCCTCTGTCTGTGTCATGCTCATTTCTGCCTCCCACCTTCCGTATCAGATGACCCTCTCCAGAAGCCAGTGCCATACTCTTGGACTTCCCAGTCTCCACTACCATAAGCCAAATAACTTCTGTTCCTAACCCTTAACTGTACCCCACAATTTTAAAATAAAAAAATATATAATTTAAAATAATAAAAATAAATTTTAAAAACATATTGTTTATAAATTAGCTAGTCTGTGGCATTCTATTATAACAGAAAATGGACTAAGACAGATATATAGAACCATTACTGTACTCCTATATAGCTCTGTTTCTTTCCTCCCCTTTTGTGGTATTATTGTTCTAGATGTTATATCTATTAATGTCACACACCTAACAACAATACATTGTTATAATTATTACTTTACCATCTATAGTCATTTTCTTAGCCCAGTACAATTATGCTTCCGCCTACCTGCTTTATGCTGCTATTGGCAAAAAAAATTACACATATATTGCATTCCTATATCTTAAAGGCCCAACATTGCATCATATACATATTATTTTATACAATTGCTTTTTAAATTGTGAAGAGGTGAGAAAAATATGCATTTGCACTGTTTTTTAAAATATGTGTAATTACATAGTTAGCTTTACTAACACTCTTTTTTTATGTGGAGTTGAATTGTCTAGGGACACTTGCTGAAGAACTTCTGTTAATATTTCTTGTGAGGCATGTCTGCTGACAACAGAGTCTCTCAGTTTTGTTTGTCTGAGAAAGTTTTTATTTCATCTTCATTTTTGAAAGATATTTTCTAGATATTGGATTTTTGGTTGAACTGGTTTTTTTCCTATGCATACTTTAAATATATATGTCGTTACCTTCTGCTTTCCATTATTTCTGCTGAGAAATCAGCTGTTAATTTTATTGGGGTTCCTGTTTGAAGTGATGAATTGTGTTTCTCTGTTTTCAAGATTTTCTCCTTGTCTTTTGACCTTCATCATTCTTACTACAGTGTTTTTGTTTGTGGATCTCTTTGTGTTTATCCCAGTTGGAGGCCTTTGAGCTTCCTGCATGTGTAGATTATTGTTTTTCAATAAATTAGAGAAAAGTTTTCTACCATAATTTGAATTTTTTTTTCTGCTCCTTTCTCTCTCTCCTTTCCTTCTGGTACTCTCATTATGCATGTTTGGTGCCCTTGATCATGTACCACATATCTCTGAGGTTCTATTCTTTTTTTTTCTTTTTTTTCTCTCTCTCTGTTTTCTGCTTATATAATCAATGTCAGTGTGTCTTCAAGTTAATTAGTTCCTTCTTTTGCCCATTCATATCTATTGTTGAGCTCCTCTAGTGATTTTTAACTTGTTATTATACTTTTCAACTCCAGAATTCTCATTTTTTTAAAATAATTTTAAAAATCTCTTTATTGATATTCTCAATTTGAAAAGATGCTGTCATCATACTTTACTTCTTTTATTGTACTTTTCTTTATTTCTGTGAGCATACTTATAATGCCTATTTTGAAGTCTTTTTTCTATTAAATTTGACATCTGGTCTCACAGAAAATTTGTGCCCTGTGGATCATACTTAAGTGTTTTTTGGTTTTGTTTTGTGTTTTGCATACCTTAAGCATTTTTTGGTTTTGTTTTGTGTTTTGCATAAAACTGGACATTTTAGATAATATATTGTTGTAATTCTGGGTATTGATTCTTCCTTTCTGGAGCTTGTTATTGTTATTTGCCTGTTTCGTTTTGAGTGACTGATTATTATTTTAGTGAAGCCTATTTCCCTTCTAGTGTTAAGCCTCTGATGTTGCCCCTCAGGGAGGTACGGCTTTGGCTATGCCCATGGATGATTGCTCAGTTGTTTTCAACGATGCCCTGGGGAGTAGATTTCTCTATAAACAAATCCAACCAAACTGTAACTTCTTTGAAGCAATCATTTCTGAAGTCTGGGTTTAATATTTGTTCTAACCCCAAGAGGGCTCTTCTCAGTGATCTTATTCCTTGATTGTGTCTTGCAAACTGGTTGGCCTACAGTCTAAACTGTTTCTTCATCAAATCCTTTAATCTGCCTTTCACCATAACCTCACTGTTCTTGAAAGCACCATTAGGTTTGAACTCCATACTCCATTGCAAATGGAGTCAGGTTCTTTGGAAAGAGATTAGGAGCTCTCTGTTTTATGGCTGGCCTCGCTTCTCTCCCGCCACCACCCCAGCCCCGCAGAATCTCTGAGCCAGGACTGTGTTCCTGATAGAGCACATGTAAAGTTAAATTTTGTCATGTCATGTATTAAATACATGAAAACATCCCAATTGCAGTTTTTAAAATTATGTACTAGACCTAAACAAATCAGGATCTAGAACTGGGGCCCGGGCATGTGTGTTTTGAAACTTCTCCATGACTTTATGTGCACATCCTTGGTTAAGAAATCTGTGTCAGAGAAACTCACTAAATATTATTGCTGAGGAGAACTTGCTTGTAAATCTTTTTTGAGGTTATCCAAGCTGCCTCTAAACTGACTAGTCCTTTCTATTTTTTTTTTTTGAGTTGGAGTCTCACTCTGTCGCCCAGACTGGAGTGCAGTG